ATTTTAATTAAGCCTACCATAAAATTCTATAAATTCTAACTAGCACATAAATCGAGTCAATTTCTGATTCGAATGCCGATAAGGCTTTCAATTCGCAAACCGATACTAAAATCATGGACAGATCTTTCTACGCCTAACAGATATAAACATAACAATGCAAAACACACATGCATTTTAATGTAAGATTCAACTAAATTTCTAATTAGGCATAATTAACCATGGATTAGGGTTAATCAGAGATTGGGGTTGTTACAAACACCTTTTTATCAAAGGCCAGAACAAAACTTCACTCTAATAGCTATGAAGGCATGAATTTAAATGACAAAAATAGACTTCCATTGATTATTGATGTTGATGAATTGTCAGTTTCCAATTCATGCCTTCATAGCTACTTGAACTATTTGATACTTTTTTCTGATCTAACATCATAAGAATCTCGCAAAGTTTTCCATATCCATTGCATGTGGGTTCTCCCTTCATTTGATTACCACTTTGAAACATTTATCTAACCTTCAAAAGATGATGAGCATTACATCCCTAAGCCATTTATAGAAACCTAGTATTTTGAAGTATAACCAAACGACATTGTTGATGTATGCATTGCCCACCATGAGTTAAAGCATTAGGAAATCAAGTTTGAAAACTTGAAACAAATTCAATCTACAAAACCTAAAAAGATGCAACCACCAGCTGAGAAAAGGAGTAGAAAATAGCAATGTGTAGAACACCAAAGAATTTCAGTCATAGAAGAAAAAAGAGTGCAGAGTCATACAATGCGAGCAAGATAAGTCAAAAATAAAATTGGTCAAGTCTTAATGCATAACATAAAGGTGGTAGGATACAATGAAAAATACCCATCAGGCTTGAGGAATGTGACCCTCTGGCCACCATTAAGGATGACCTTAACATTGGATAGTTTTCCAAGAAGTCCAAATCCCTTTGCACCGAGGCCTACTAAAGAAAATGATTAATCATCAAAAGAAGTCAGTAAGCATGGGAAAAGACATTTTGATCCCAGAGAGCAATTTTCTTATTTAAAAAAATAATATCAATCTTGGTAAAATGCAGCAGTCTTATCAGTTGACAGAAAATGAGGTTGCCTACTACATCACACAACTCATCAAGTGAAAAGTGGCCCATCAAACATGCTAGAGCTACTGCCTCTGTTTTAGGTAATTCATCTGTTTTTGAATTGGACAATTGAGGCACCCTTGCTTCAGCTAGCCAAGGATCTCTGTCTCATTCCTCCATCTATTCTAATTAAATCAAATACCCTCTGCTGTCTGTCACCTTCCTGAAGCCAATATAATGACCTCCATCTATTCATAGCTATTGTTTCCATGATCTGATTAGTACTAACAAGAATACTTCCTTGTTTATTTGTTGGCATCACTAGTTATATTAGTGTTTACTAATATATGCATCACTAGTTAAATTTTTAGATTTTCTATTGTGTTTCACTACGCAAGGATGCAAACTGGAATACATAGTTGCATTCTTACTAATTGTTAAATTCTTTCCAAAACTAGAAGTCTTTGATATGCTACCATGTAATATCTTGTTTAGCAACAAGTTCTTGTGATCACCCTAACAAAGAGAGTAGTTCTTTCACACAAGAAGCAAAAACTTGAGCATAACCGTGAAAGAAGCAAAATCTTGAGCATAACCGAGGAACAAACTGAAATAAACCCCTATGCTACACCATTTTTCTCTAATCCTTTCCATCTATCAACTCAATTTCAATTTCAAAAAATATAGAAGGCAATAGTGAAGGCTTTCAATTTCAATTTTCATGTGTCATGCCTCTTTTACTTGACAATAATTACCTCCAAGTGTTGGATCATTGGTTTCTTATCAGCATCGTGAACCTTCTTCCACCTACGAACGCTCAAGTCTGGTAATTGCGTTCGAACCTCTATGCCAATCTTGGAGGCCAACTTAAAGGCTTGACCTCCTACTGGCGCACGGAGCTGTTCAGGCACATGAACCAACATCTTTCCATCTTTCTCAAAAATGCGTTGGGTTTGTATGTCGCGTGTTGGACCACAACCACGTCTATCATGTGATGCTGTAAGGACATAATATTAATTGAGTTAGCAAGTAAACAAATGCAAGTTAGACCTTAAATTGAATATAAACAACTTTGCAAACTTACCAACACTGCTAGATACAGTCACCTCATGCTCAGGTTGCACATTATGAGGTGGTCAGGGTTGGGTACCAATCTCTTGACCTGGGGGATCTATCCCTTCTTTTGGAGTGGGAGTTAATGGCCCCGAATGAGACTGTAAACGAAACCCCGGTGGCATCTCTTGTTCCTAAAATAACATAATCGAATAGTAAAGAAGATATTTAACACAGTTAAAATATATTTTAAAAAAGATATGATGTTTAAGATATATGAAGAAGATATTTAAATAGTAAAAGACATGTTCACATACAAATATAAAATAATGTATATACTACCTTGCGGTAAAAGGAACCCAATGACTCATTATCACTATCGTTCTCACTCTCTGACGGTTTATACTCATCATCATCATCATCTACCTCAACCCTAATTCTGTTTTCCTTTGCATTTGCACATTTGGGCTGAACCACACTCATCAAAGAATTTGTAATATTCTTCACTCCAAGATTATTCATTACCTCAAAGTTCTTCTTGATTCGTTTATTTCTTTGTTTCTCATATTCTGTTAGCTTCTTAGTTCTCAAATCACCTGGTTTCAGCCATTGTCTTTTTCCTTTGACCATTTTCTACAATTATATAACATAATTCAACTTTAATTGGAAAATATAGACAATATAATTATGCACCATCAAATAAAAGAAGAAAAACATAATCCCAAAATATCCAAAACAGCTTAATTAAAAGGTACTTTACGTAAGCTTGTCATACCAAAATAGATCAAATGTTTCTAACAAACTTGTCGCCAAACCATAATCCAAAAAGTACAAAATATAAACTTGGCACATGACAAAAGTACTCAAAAACATTACTCATCATGTGAACCATGTATTTTTGGAAAGCAACATCGTGAAAAGTTTCTAGTGGGTAAATCTTGGAGAGCTACAAGACATCTAATGCTGGTGCATGCTGATGTATGTGGTCCAGAGGTGAAATAGAGGCTTTGGCAAGGGAACAACCAGGTGAAATAGAGCTGCAGCAGTCATGGCTAGGGAACAACCAGGTGAAATAGAACAACTAGGTCCAAAGTTGTGCATGTTTTAACAATCTCTTCTTCTCAAAAGTTTTGATGGCTAGAAGAGTCTCATATATAGGTTCATGGTTTTCTCTTTGTAAGAATATCACAGGAATCTTCTTTCTTTCTTTTTCCTGGTGGAGCTCTAATTTCTGTCTCATTCTCTTTGTCACTTTATAACTTTTATCTTTAGGAAAATTACTTAACATGCATCAATCCTGGTTGTAGATTCTCAAAAGCTATATTCAGCAAGTTGCAAAGGCAGAACAAATTTTATAGTTCAATTTGTATGAGCTCAAAATCTGTGATGTGTATTGCCACTTAAACCTTTGATAGTCTAACATCCAAATTAGATTTATAAGATTGCAATAGACTTTGATTTACCACAAGTAAAATGCAATTAAATATGGTACCCAAATACAGCATTTAAGTAAGGAAAGAAATGTGAATAGAAAAAAGACGAATGTAATAGTTATATATGTTTGGAAAAGTTGTTAGATTTATAGTCCAAAAAGAAAAAAAAAAAATTGTTGGTTCCACCTTTGACATTAACCAGGAATAGCACTTTTATGAGGCTAGATTCCAATTTGTATACAAACATAGCATTGTGATTAAGAAAATAGTACAACTACCATAAACGGTTACTTAAGGAATCGCTTGTCCTTAACTTCATCAAAAAATTTCAATTAATGCAATCTTTCTTCTATCAACTCATTGATCACTTGTCATGCTATTAGTAAGCATGAATAAAAATGACTGAAGTAAAAAGGCAAGGAAGTGATATTAGTTAAAAGGTAAATGAATCCTACTAAAACGAAGACCTTGTAGGTAATTAGAGGACAACCAAATGAAGAAACCAATAAAAACACTACAAGAATTTTCACTTTTGGCGACTAAATTTTTAGTCGCCAAAAGTCAATTTTTAGTCGCCGAAGGGCTTTAGCGACTAAATTTTTTGGTTGCAAAATTAGTAGCTGAAGAGTAGTCGGGAAAGCTAATTGGCGACTAAAATTATTTTAGTTGCAAAATGTATTCATCTGCTGACTAAATATTTAGTCACCAAAAGGTTGGACATTACATTAAATTAGACCATTTTCGGCGACCAAACTTTTAGTCGCCTAAAGTCCCACCTTTTTAGCTACTAAAATTTTAGTCAGCAAAGAGTTCTTTTTTGGCTACTAAAAATTTAGTCGCCGAAAGTCCCCATCTTTGGCTACTAAATGTTTAGTCGACAAAGAGTTCCTCTTTTGGCTACTAAATATTTGGTCACCTAAATTTCTACATTTTTGGCTACTAAAATTTTAGTCGGCAAAAGTGTGTTTATAATTTAATTTTTTGTTTTTAGTTACGAAATATTTTAGTCACAAAATGTTTGATTTTCTTTTGGCTACTAAAGTTTTAGTCGCCAAATGTCTTTCTTTTTTTTTTGGCTACTAAACTTTTAGTCGCCAATTGTCTTTTTTTTTTGCTACAAAACTTTTAGTCGCCAAATGTCTTTTCCTAATTTCTTTTTAGCTACTAATTGTTTAGTTGCCAAAAACATGATATTATGTTTTATTGCGAAATTATAATTTCTCGATAACCTGTCTATATACAATGCAACATGTAATACGTATAAAAACAAAATGATACATACTATCAATCATTCCACAATCTGCATCCATATACCAAAAATAAATAACATTAAATATCAAAGTTCATACAAATCAACTATTGTCCAAATTAAAATAATAATTCCATACAAAATATATCATACAAAAATCAAAACCCTCCGTATACAAAAAAAATACATTTACGTCCAAGCGAAATTACCATTTGGCATGGTACAAATTACCATCGTAATCTGTACCACAACAAAAGGTGATATATGTACCACGACAAAAATTTTCTATGGACCATGACAAAACGTCCTATATGTACGCCAACAAATGGTATATATGTACCACGATAGAAGGTAATCTATGTACCACAACAGTCATTATCTGTTGATTGCCAAAAGTTTTTTGTATCAGTAATAATGAACTACACAAAAACTGAGAACGACAAAAGTATTATATTAGTTCTACACAAAAGTGAAAATTCTTCTCTGTACACCAATATGGATTATCCACAAGTCCACGAAACCAAGCCATCTACAAAGAAAAACAAAAAACAAAACATTAGAGTTGGTTACAAAATATCAATTCAGTCAGCCATATGAAACATATTCTAACATGCATTTAAGGTAGAACAATCGATAAATGTCTTCTTGCAAATAAAAGAAAGTATATATATATGTATCATGCAATATTTATTCCAACCAACTGCACAAACAATGTAATATATAATTTCTTCATCTTATAAATATATATACGCAATTATTAGAATATGTAGATGTTATTTCAATAAAGTTGTTGTTTTTTTAACTAAGTGTTGCAAGTTTTTCGACTAAATGTAAGGTGTATTCGGGGGGTATTATGAATTTTCGCCCCCGGAAAGCCCTTTTTCAAATAAGTTTAGGACGTATTCGGCTCTAACTCCCAACCTACGAGTCCGAATTACGTTCTGTCAGATCTCACAAGTCTTATTTGTCATGGCAAAGCTATCCGTGTGAGCCACACGGTCGTTTGAGGGCTGTTTTGAATTTTCGCCCGCAGAAAGCCCTTTGTCATGGCAAAGCTATCCGTGTGAGCCATACGGTCGTGCACATGCATGTTGCTACTTTAAGAGAAAGTTGCACAATTGTATTACCCAAATATATAAAATAGACATTAAGTAGTTACAACAACTTGCCTTTCAATATCACCCCCGAACGAAGTAACAAGCTGTCAGGCATAAATAATAATTCCTTCTTGCTTATAATCAAAATCAGCATGACCAAAACTAGCATTTAAACAAAGAAAATAAGAAAAATGTATCCAGTGGAAAATGTGGTCAAGCTCACCTATTCTGCAATGAATTTAACACCTCCATGATTGACCATTTCATAAGTTTCACCAAGAATTGGATTAAATGACTTCAGGTTCGTTGGCAGGCATAATAGATTGTTATAAAGAAGGATGCTGAAATGGAGAACCATAAGTTTCACAACAGAAAATGCACACTCACACTCGCACAAAGAGAGAGAGAGAGAGAGAGAGCAGAATGGTACTTACAAGCATAAACCAATCACATGTAGAGATCCTCACATTCATCTGCTAAATCCATAAGGTAGGAGTATTCCATCAACCATTACAAACATTTCACAATGGGTGATATTCAACAAGAAAAGCATCAGCAAATATAACAAAGATATCAGTATGGTACAAAAACACAAACCTCTGCCATTTTTTGAAGCATTGACATTGGCTCAAAAATGATAACTGGGAGTGTCACCATTGATGTGACATCAAACCTATATATTTCTGCATCATCTTCCAATAACTGTCCCGATCCTATGAAACACAAGAAAAGAAAGAAAGTTGTCAATAGAGAGATATGCCTTTATTTCTGTTAAGAGACAGAAAGAGAGATTTACTAAGCATTACTTATGGACAATAACACACGTCAACAAGACGTGCTAGAATCAAAATTAATAATCTATAATTAAAACTTATCCTATCCCATTTTTTAATTTAAAATATAAATTTATTAAGAACAATATTTCATCATCATTGATTATGAAACAAAGATCTTCATTGTATTTATAAAACTGATAGCATCAGAATCCATTGAAGATCATGATAGAAATTCAATAACTAAATGAAGGATTCCTAATGAACAATATATATATAGGTCCAGTGGGAAAGCATATCTTATACATTCAAAAACAAATGTTCATAATCCCAAAAGCAATTCATATATCACATGACATCAAAGCCAACCAATAGGGAAGGGTTTATTTTTGTTTGTTTTTATCTTTTATTTATTTTTTGTTGGGACCCTTTAATAATGTGACATTCCCATTGTTGATCCATCTCCAACCTGAGCAGCTTTTCATATGATACAAGCAAAGCAACCCACTATCTCATGCACACACACCTGGAGTTTTCAAAAATAATTTTCAACTCCTATTTTTTTGGATTTTAGTATTTTTTTTTAAAATGTTTTAATCAAATTCTTTTAATTTTTATTTAGATGTACTTTACAAGTTTTAAAAAAATGTTAAAAATTCTTTTAAAAATTTACTAAATACAAAAATTCAAAACATTTTTGTATTTTTAATTTTATTTATTGAATTATTTTTAGATTACTTCACAAATATTTTATTTTTTAACTACATTAGAATTAAAAAAAACTTTGTTTCATAACTTGAACGGAAAAAAAAATAATTATAAACATTCAGTCATGCAATGCAATCATGAACTAATTAATTGCATAGAATGAGAGGTTGGGTATTCAAAGCTACATATTCTTATCCCTTCTTTAATTTTGAAAACTGCATTTAAATGCATCAATTGAATGAATGATAACTACCCAAGCATATCTTCAAGTGATGCTCCCGTGGAAGGCATCGCTTTGTTTCATGCATGTATCAGCTGATATTAGTATCGGCAAGAGATGTAATGGAAAACATCACATTACCATCTAATGCCTCCCAAACAAACTTACTTCAACTTGAATTAAATTTGTATTAGGAATATGGATTGAAGAGAGAAAGAAGAGCATCCTAATTAAAATTCCTTCAGCTTCAACCTCCAATGGTGGATTGCTTCACATATCAAACACGTGAGCATTGCCCAGTTTCGTTTGAACATTTCGTCAAACACATGGTGAGCAAAAGGGTCAGAAGACAACAACAAATACAAGCATGGACGAATTTCGTTTGAACATTTTTTCAGGTACATGGTGAGCAAGAGGGTGAAAAACAACAACAATTACAAGCATAGACCAAACAATAGTAATACATACACTAAGAAATTACATAAATCAAAACAACAATGACCCTAAGAAATTACATGTTCCTTCAATCGTTGGTTCATTGATTTCACATAAATCAAAACCCTACACCATAAAAAAAAAAACGAACCCTAGATGTAGAGTGAAATGGGGAAATAGAGAAAGAGAGACAGAAAAACAGAACCGAGAGGGAGAGAGAGAGATAGAGAGAGCAAGAGAAATAGAGAGAGGAAGATAAAAACCTCAATGTCGAAGCAATGCAATGCGAGGAGCTGCGAGGCGAGCAACGGCGGTGGCAGTGTGTGACGGTGGAAGATCGACGGTGAACGATGGTGGAAGATCAACGGTGAGCGATGGGGGCTAAAGTGATGGTGAGTCGTCCCTGAGAGAGAGGGAGACCAAGAGTCAAGAGTCTTCTGGGTTTGGTTTGGGTGGATTGATAAAAACAAGGAAAATTTACTGATAAGTCCTAGTTTTTGAAACGTTGAACCATTTAGTCTTAAAAGTTTTTTTATGCTCCATTTAGTCTTATTTTTACATCAACATGATGTGAATGATGTAAATGATCTGATGTTTCATTCTATAATTTTAAAATTTATTGAAATCTGATGAACATTAGATGTTTTTCATCCTATATTTTCAAACATTATTGAAATTTGATGAACATTAGATGTTTGAAATCCAATGTTTGTAACATGACTCTGATGTTATTAACATTGTATCTGATGTTATTAACATTGTAATGGGACCTTTCAGTCTATAAGAAAACTTTTAGGACTGAACAGTGCATAAGTTATTAATTTGGGATTTATTGGTGCATCCCCCTTAAAACAAATATGTATAAGAAGAAAAAGTCAAAATGAATTGCCTCCAAATTTGAAAAACATTCCCCCAAAAAAATCTGTTATCAAAACCGACCGAGTAAAATTTTTGTCGCCATTTGTAGTAGTTTTGGTGACTGAAAATATTTTGGTCACCAAAAAATAATATTCACCGACTAAATTATTTTTTTGTCGCTAAAAGTAAGTTTTCGACGACTAAAAGTTTAGTCGCCAAAGAGGTAAAATAATTTTTTTTATTTTCCATTCGACGACTAAATATTTTAGTAGTCAAAAGTCAATATATGGCGATTATTTTTTTTTTTTGTAGCTGAAAGTGACATTTTGGCGACTAAGAGAAAAAATAATTTTTTTATTTTCCATTTGGCGACTAAATATTTTAGTAGCTAAAAGTCAATATACAGCGACTAAGTTTTTTTTTTTTTTGTCGCCAATTCTAGCATTTTTAGGGACTAATTTTTTTTTTAGTCGCCAATAAAGAATATACACTACAAGAATTTACACATTTTGCGACCACTTTTGCCGACCAAAAAAATTTTGGTCGCAAAAAAATGACATTTGGCGACCAAATATTAATTAGTCGCGAATGATCATTATTTTTGGCGACCAAATATTATTGGTCGCAGAAGGTTATATTTTGGCGACCAAAAAATATGTTGGTCGCAAAAGTGGTATACTTTTGCCAACCAATTACAAATTTGGTCGCGGAAGGTCACATATTTTTTGGCGACCAAAAATTTGGTCGCGAAAAATTTATTTTCAGCAACCAAAAAAAAGTAGTCACCAAATTACTACTTTTAGCAACTAATATTTTAGTCGGCGTTGGTTGAGATTTGGCGACTAAAACAATTTGTCGGCGAAATAACCTGTTTTTGCGACTAATTTGAGAGTTTGGTCGCCAAAAGTTTGGGGGGAAATTTGAAAGATAGAGAGGGAAATATATATATATATATTTTTTTTTTTTCAATTTTTCCTTACGCCTCACTACCTCAGGCCTAGGGCTGGGCATAGGGTTATCCGACCCGCCCAAACCCCCCTATCCGAACCGAACCGCACGCTCGTGGGCGGTTTCGCAAACACATTAAGATATGGTGCGAGTTGAATTTTATATAAATTTCGGGTTGCGGACCGGTTACGGGTTTGAACCGCACCCGTCCAACCCGCCCGCATTGAATTAATTTTTTTTTTCCTCTTTCAAATCTAGCCGTCCATCACCATATCACTCACCTCATTACAAACAAAACAAAAAAACCCTAAATTCGTCTCCCTCACTCTCTCAGTCAGCCTCATCTCAACTCATCTATCTCTCTCTCTCTCTCTCACTCTCTCGTTTCGTTATTCTGCACCGATCACTCTCTCTCACTCTCTCGTTGTTCATCTCATCGAACCAATCATCACACCGCCGATCTACTCACAGGTAAACTCTCTCTCTCAATCTCTATCTCTCTCTCTCTCTCTCGCCCCGATCGTTGATTTTTTTTGTTTTATATATATATATACATATATGTATCAGATATGTCTCTGATCTGATCTGTCTCCCTCACTCTCTCATCTCATCAGATCCACAGTTTGGTTTTGCATCTCTGCACCGATCGACTTACAGGTAAGCCTCTCTCTCTCTCTCTCTCTCTCTCTCTCTCTCCCCCTGATCTCTCATCTCTGCACCGATCGAACAGATCTGTTCTGTTTGTTTATTTTGGACCAACAGATCTGTTCTGTTTGTTTTGGAATCTGTGTGTTTGTTTTGTTTTGGAATTTGATCTATTCTGTTTATTTTATTCTGCACCAATCACTCTCTGTGTGTTTGTTCTTAAGGAATTTGTTGAATCTGTGTGTATGTATGTTAATCAGATTCATGTTGATTTTGTTGAATTTGTTCTTAAGAAATTTGTTTGAATTTGTTCTTAAGAATTTTTGTTGAATCTGTGTATGTATCTACTTTCTTTTCTGGATTGGAATCCGACTAAATTGCCCATGGCCTGAGTTGAGGACATATGGGTCTCAAAAGTAGCTACTTTCTTTTCTCCAAGGTAACACTGTACTTCACTGAAATTTTTACATGTTGAAGTTGTTTATGTATTATTTGTTGAACATGGAGTGAAAACATTTATTGGGTAAATCTTACTGAGCAGTTAATTGATTTTACAACTGTTTTTACTGTGACAGAGAAATATGAACTTGTTCATGCAAAGTGGACAACAGAACGATGTGCTATATGTAGATGGGTTGAGGATTGGGACTATAACAATATTGTTATTTGCAACAGGTGTTACTATTCTTCATGAATCTTTATGTTTAATCATCACATTTTATGCATTTGAATTACAATTTATTTGCTGAGATAAGATAGCACCTGATTTAGGAACTCTAGTAGGATCATCTGAGTCAATTTTATTTTTCATATATATGATTTTCATTCAAAGATGATAAACATTAATTTTTTAGGTTTAAAGTAGGAGGGATTAATATGTATAAATTTATGTTGTATCCAAATTTATTTTTTCAAACTTATTATGTGTGTGTCCACCTAGGTGTCCAAAGTGTGCCTGGGTCAACTGGTGGGGGGTTACTTTCTAAATTCTATTTCTACCTCACTTGAATTTGCTTAATTGTAATTTGTTGTGGAATGGACTTATGAATTGATATAATATTTCCTTTTTAGAGCCCTCATTTCCATGTGCTTCTTTTTTTGTATTAATAAATCTAAACTTTTGTTTGTTTTTCTCTTTGAAGTTACGATATCCTTTAAATCATTCAAGAGGATAAAGGTTCAGGTTGTTTTTTCTTTTTCCAAATGTTTAAGCTCCCTTATTGGGCCCATATCTAGTATTCTTTTCCTGATGTCAGAATATTTGTTTTTGTAGGATTATGAATTTGTAGGATCATTGGTTTAGGTAATTGTTTGTTTGATATGTGGATTGTTAAATTTTTTGCCCACCAAGTGTTTGATTCTATGCTCAAGTGACAAATTTATCAGAAACAATTGGAACATGGAGTGTTTGAATCTGTTTCAATCTGCTTTCACAATTGAACATGGTCACCAATATATGTACACCATTGTAACTCTGTTACAGAGTATTGTGATTTTATTGAGAGATAGACATTAATAAAGATCATTAGAGAGATAGACATTAATAGCAAATCAAACCACTGCATAATTAGCCAAGCCCCATGGAACATGGTCATCAAAAATTGGGATATAATCTCACCATTGTGTTTGTTTGTATGCATTTATTGATGAGATATGTTGTGGTTAAATTCTCATTCGTTCATGAATCCCCATATATTTTATTCATGTATCTAATGATATTCGATGAAGCTAATTTGTTGTACATACATTTTTACTATGAGATTTACAAGATGAATGGTTTGAATTATCATTGTGGACCCGAAATGAAGCCAATAAAATAGAGTATGATGAAATACGGAGGATAGTAGTGACATGGAAAAGAGTCATCCCCTATTTTTAAGTGAGAAAATTGCACAATACTATTCTTTTGGGATTAAAATTTTCATTTACAAAAGTAAACGTATTTTACAATAAATTATTTTGTTCCTAAAAGTGTATTTATTAGTAGCATTTTTTAAAAAAAAAATTCATTAAGTCTTTTTTTGACATTTTAAGACGGTCTTTTCGTGTTGACTCATATGATAATTAGTGGTCTCTTAATATTTTTTGCTACAAATTTTTTTCCCCATATAGAAACGAAAAAAAGTTAGCCTCTAAGACACTTATTTATTGTGATACCTTAAATTTGAAATCCTACGTAATTTTCAATTGCAAGCTAGACTACATTAATTGTTCAAAGGAAAAGACTCACAATATGTCTGACCCAGATATATATAGTTGAAGAGGTTGTGATCCACTGAACACCCATTATCTAAAATGACTCATATTTCTAAGTTCTCACTGATCCAAATTAGATGTTTATTTAGGCCTCTGATTATTTGGGCTGAATTTGAAAATTAAAAAAAAAAAAAACATAATTGGTGTCTTGAGCCTTGCATTGGGTTTGGTCTAAAGTCCAGAACTACATAAATGTGGGCTTTCATTTTCATTCTGGGCCTTGGTCAAAGTTAGATTTGCATCCACAAAAATGAATTGACATTTCGCCAAAGCTGTGAATATCAACCAGCCCTCATTGGCAACTGGCAATTTGGTTTCAATTGGGGCAGTTTTAGTGCTTTTAACATTATTGGTACTATTGCTTACTAGTTAGGATATTCAACTGGACGACGCTCTGATAATAGTTGCAAACAAAAATTTCAATATCAGAATGAATTTATTTTTGAAATTCATGTCCTTGAATCTTAGAGGTTGAATGTTTTACATTAGAGTCAATGGGGCTATAGCACTCTTAAATAGGGATGGACATAGGTTAGGTTTGGCGTGGATTTTTAATAACCTAACCCGCTCCCTATCATATTGGGAGTGAGACAAATCAAGGGGTGATGGGATGGGACTAGAGCGAGAGAGGGATTAAAATATATATCACGTGTTAGCCTCCTACTATATTTGATTTTTAGCCTCCTACTATATTTGAAGGTGCGATTACAATGTTTTATAAGACGTGGGCAATGGGTGTATTGGAAAATGTTCTTGCATCTTTCCATTCCATT